TTTTGTCAAGCAGACAGCCAGCAAGATTTGGAAACAGAAGGCCTCAGGCAGAAACCATCTTCTGGCCAGAATGGCAGGAGAGCCACCTGGCTTTCAGATTTACACAGCAGTGAGGGAAAAGAGAAGAAGAAAAAGATCTGCATGGTGGAATCGCTGGCACCCAGTACCTAACATGTGTCCATGTGCACGTGTGCCCATTAAATGACAGTGGCTGTGGGCTCTCTGCTGGAGTTACCCCCTTCCTGATATAGGCATTTCTCTCGTCAGTGAAGCTTCCGTTCAAGAATGCTAGGAATGAACACCTAATGTCACCAAATAAGCCCCCAATTAGCCTCTGCAGCCTAGAGCAGTTCCTGTAGTTTGCAGCCAGATTTTTTTCTGTGTGTGTGTGTGTGTGTGTGTGTGTGTGTGTGTGTGTGTACACATGTGTGCCACAGCATGCATATGGAGGTCAGAGGACAGCTTATGGGAATCATTTCTCTCCTTGTACCATGTGAGTTCTAAGGATCGAACTCGGGTCGTCAGACTTGTGTGTGGCAAACACCTTTACTCACCGAACCATTTTGTCAGTCCTGGTAAAATTCTTAAGCAACAGCCAAACACAAGTGTTATAGTTTGACTTTGAAATATCTTTCCAAAGGCCCATGTGCTAAAGCTGGGTCCACAAATGCTGGAAATATTAGGAGAAACCATTAAGAAATAGAGCTGACTGGAGCAGTCTTTAGAGGGAGGGGTGTCCTTGACGGGACTCTTAGGATCCCAGCCCTGCCTTTCTCTCCCTTTGATTAGCAAATGTAGTTTAGCTGTCTTCTGTTCCCTGCCACTCACCATGATACACTGTGCCAGCTCGGACCTAAAGCAGCAGAGCCAAGTGACCATGGATGGACACCTCTGAATGCTGAGTGCAGATAAACCCTTCTTCTAAGCTGTCTCTCTTGGGTATTTGGTCCAGAAGTGGAAAGCTAACACAACCAGCCTGTGGTGATATCTTGTGTACCCCAATAAACTTGCCTGGGGATCAGAGCACAGAGCCAGCCAGTAGATTAGACATAGAGGCAGACAGTGGTGGCACACACCCTTAATCCTGTCACCCAGGAGGCAGGGACCGGTCTGGATCTCTGTGAGTTCAAGGCCACCCTGGAAAGAAACAGTCAGGCAATGGCGGCACACAACTTTAATCCCCACACTTGAGATCTCATGCCTTTGCTTGGGAAGAACCAGTGACTGCTGCTCTGCTGCTCTGACCCTCAGGCAAGTTTATTAGGGTACACAATATATCACCACACCAGCCCCCCTTTATTTTTGTAATGTGGGCTCCCTCCTCTTTGCCCCTGAGGAACTGTGAACAGTTCATCTTGCTCAAGAAAAGAACCTGAATTCAGAACCCAAAGGGAATCCCTCCCCATCCCTTGCCAGGAAGTCTGTGAGAGTGAATTGAGAAGGACCAGGGCAGTGCTGGCTTTTCCGTCTCCAGACGGAAGGTGGTGTCTCAGAATCAGCGGTGACAATGCCAGAAACAAATCTCCTTGGCTGTCCTGAGCTGAGTTCCATGGGAAATCCTTGGCCAGAAAAGCCCATTTGCCCAATTAAAATAAAGATTCCAGTCTGGGAGAACAGAAAGTCAACTCATTTGTCAGTTGCTAAGCAACGTCTCCTCACACGGCGGTATTTCGGGGATGGATCCATCTGGAAATCAGAAAAGGTCTCAGTGCTTCCCTCCTTGGTCTGAGGAGTGGGGAGGGGAAGACAAAAGCTCGCTTTGGGCCCGCATAGTCAGAGGTGAGGCTTTCCCAAAGTCCTCCTCAGTTCTCCCCTGAGGACATGTCCGTCTGCACCAGTTCTCTCGTACACTTTGGGTCTTCGGGTGCTGACTCTCACCCCTGCTTTCTTATTCTGCTCCCTCTTTTTTTTTTTTTTTTT